AAGAGCCGCAGCCCATCCCTGCCAGCCACAGCCCCGCTCCCGGACCCTCGGCTGCCGGGAGGCGGCACGGGGAGAGGCGGCAAGCTGCAGCCCCGGGGAGCTGGAGGGGACGGGGGTGTGGGAAGGAGCATCCCCCTCGGCTTGTCAACCAGAGCCGCCGGCATGGGGCCAGCCGCGGTGCCCCAAGGCGCCTTGCAGCCCGCTGTGTCCTTGGAGCAGATCCCGTGTCCCCGCGACGGCTGCCACCAAGCCCAGGGTGATGCTCGGCTGTCTCAGCCGCCACACTGGGGCCACCGTGCACAGCCCTGCTCCCTTCTCCCACGGACGTGGCGGTGGCAAACTGACCCCAGACCAGAGCCGGGCTGGTGCACGAGCCTGGTGCCTCTTGGAGCAAACCCCGTCCCTGTCCTTGTCCCCGTCCCCACCGGCCTGTGAGCTCTGCTCCACAAAACCATGGCTGCTCTTCACCTCCCACCTCCCAGACTGATCCGAACCCACAAGAAGCAGCAGCTGATTGATGTCCGTTTGGGAAAAAAGAGCGTTTAACCTCCCAATTGCAGATGATAAATTATGGAGACATGGGTCTGCAGGGGACGGAGCAACAGCCGCGGGGCCAGGTGTCACCGAACCGACGCTGCTGGCGGGGACGGGACGGACCGAGCAGGACCGAGGGAGCCGGGAAGGGGCTGGGGAAGGACGGGGGGGAAGGAGGGGGCAGAGCAGCCAGCGAGACCCCCAGCCCTGCAGCCACGACCCCGGGGGGCTGCCAGGCGCCTGGCCCCCAGGGTGGGCTCGGATGGGGCTGAGCCGCCGCAGACACGGCGCAAAGCCCAGGTAGTGCCTCTGCACAGACCCACGCCGAGCGCTCATGCTGCAGGACGTTATTCTCCCTTCCTCTACGCCAGGAGAATTAGCAAGAAGCCTGGAGACAGACGGAGAGGTGACCCCCCTCGCCTCCAGCCTCTTTAAAATGCCAGAAAAGCGGCTCTCCAAGCACGCGGATCAGGGCCGAGCGTCTCCCGGCAGGTGCAATGGAAACACAGATTCCTTCTCCATGGGGTAAAGCTCTCCAGTGCAGCGCCGCAGGGATGGGCGCCGGGATGTGTCCCGGCCTGGCCACCCCGGGCAGTGCCAGGACCAAACGCCACCCTCACTGCGAGCGGCTGCAGCGGGACCTGTCCCCAAAGCCCCACGGGTCGGGGACAGCCCCACCAGCCTGAAATGCCCAGGGGAAGGAGGAGGCTTGGGGATTGGGAAGCTCTTTGGGGAACACTCACCCGCCGAGTGCCCAGGAGGCAGGAAACACCCCGGCAATAAAAACCACCTCTGCGGGGTCCCAGGGGGCTCCAGGCTCCCCAGGCGAGAGGAATCGCCCCCCACGCCTGGCAAGGGCTCAACCCAGACGGCCGCGGGTGCACCCAGGACCAGGGGGCTGCCAGCTGCCTCCCGCCCCACGGGAGCCCTCGGTTCGTGCTCCCCACGGGGCTCCGGCGTGAGCCAGACACCCCTGCCACCCCCAGGGGCACTTAGGGGTCTGGCAGCCCCCCCGCTGGGTCTGGCAGCCCCCCCGGCCCGGGCAGTGCCCCCCTCGCTGACCGCCGCTCGCCGGCCACATCAAAGCAAGGGCAGGATCTGGGACGCGGCACAGCAGCCGCCGTGGGGACAAAGCGGGGACAAAGGGGGGACCTTACCTTCCGGCAGGGCGGTGATGCCGATGACTCGGAGGTTGAGGTTGGGGAGGGGAACGGCGCAGATGTTCTTCCCCAGCCTCTGCAGCGGGGGCAGGAGGAACGTGATCTCGTACTTGTGGAGGATCTTCAGGAATCCCACCTGCGATGGAGGGGACACGGCGGGGGTCACACCATGCCTGGGGCAGGCGCCGAGCCACCGCGGGAGGCAGTGTCACGCTGCCGTCGTCCCATCCCGTCCCCCTGCGTGTCCCACCCCAGGGACAGCGACCCGCCAGGCACTCGAGAGCCCGCGGGAAGGCGGGGGGCAGCAGCCGTGGGGGGCTCTTGCCTAAATAATTGGGAAAACGTAACCAACACGGCTACTTTGGCTGCACAAAGCAAGCAGCAAAAACCACCGGTTCTGGGCAAAGCCCTGGGAACAGCCACCTTCGGTGTCAGGGGAGCAGAGACCAATTTTCCCAGCGTAAGCCAAACGCCTTCGGCTGCTGTTTCTGGTCTCTAAAAGCCAAGACGTTTCCAAGAGCGCGCCTTCAAACGTCATTTACCCACTGCCGCGATGAAAACCAGAGCCCTTTCAGAGCCGGCTGCCTCCGGAGCGGGGTCTGTCTCCATCACGCTCAGAAAACACCATTTTGGGAGGGGAGCGGCGGGCCCCCCGCCTGCGGCAAAGCTCCGGACGCGCCTGCAAAGCCTCCCCGCGGCAGAGCCCAGAGCACAGCCAGGATCCGGCCCGGCCGAGAGGGCGATCCCCTCCCGGGGCCACAGGGCACCCGCTGCTCGCCGACCGCCGCGGGCACGACTCAGCCGGGCACCCTCGGCCTTCCACGCACACACATGCAGCCTGCCCCGACCGTACCTCAGCCGCCACAGAAATACATATAGATACACGTATATAATACACACGCACGTACGTATCTATCTATACACACACAGCTATAAAATGCACACCATATGCTCCCACGTTCCTGTCCACAAGCAGCTCCGAGGCATCGCTGCAACACAGAAACCAACAGAAACGATGATGTGCAGCTTTGGGGATTTTAAGGCCGTGGAAAGGCATTTGGGGATCGGCCAAGAAGAGCCTTTTCTCTGTAGGGCAGAGGATGAGGGTCTCCTCCTGCCTCTGATAAGCCCGGCGGGGCGCGGTGTGCACCCCCAACCCGTCCAGAAGGATGAGCTGGGCGGTTAAACGCGGCCCTGGCACAGAGCCCCGCGGCACCGGCACGCTGAGCCGGGTGCGGGTGGCTGCCAGCGCCGGGCTGGTCCCATTCTGGCATCGGGGCCGAGGGCAGCAGGCAGCTGCCCCCCTTCCCCAGAGAGGCACGTGCAGTGCCGGGGCGCCCGCGGCACGCTGCGCGGCACGGGTGGGAAAAATAATAACAACCACCCACAGATCGGCAATTGCTAAGCGATTCGCTGCCGTTTTTAGGGCGATAACCTGTCATCCGCCCGGTACAAATAACTGACTCAGAGCTGAACGGGAGTTTCAGATCGCTCTGCGGTACGCAACGCCGGAGCGACCCCGAGGGGTTATTTCTTGGGAGAAAAAGGCCTCCAGAGGCGAGGCTGGGATGGAGGGGCTGCAGCCACGATAAAGCAGCTCCGGGCAGAGGACCGGCAACCTGCACCTCCGAGTCACCGCCAAGCTGCCCGTCGCGTGGGGCGAGGAGCTGCGGGACGGGGCAGGCCGCGCACGCTCGGGTCTGCAAACCTGCCGGGGTGAAACATGAGGTGTCACTAAAGATGGCTTGCTGTCCCCGCTGCCATCGCCGGCCCCCGGCACGGTTTGGGAGCCACCATCAAACCCGAACCCACGCTAACGCCCTCCCACGGCCACAGGCACGTGGCTGGAGGGGAGCGAGGAGAAGCCACGGCGCCGCTGGCGCGCAGGGTGAGACCCAGCTCATCCCCGTCCCCTCCAAACGGGGACAGAGGAGACAGTGCCACGTCCCCCTGCCCTGCCCAGGGCGCAGCTGGGCCAGCGGCACCCCAGCCTGCCCTGCCAGGAGTGGGCTCCGCTGCTCCTGACCCCACCAGACCCCAATTTCCAGAGGGGGGCTGCGTCCCACCCCAGCCCCACGAACGCTGCCCGTGGCAGCAGCAACGCGGGCCGCGGGCCCTCCCCGGCGCCGGCAGAGGCTGGATGCAGCCGCAGGAATCGGGTGCTGCATGGGTGCATGCGGAGCAAAGCACCCACGTTTATACCTGTGCCCTCAGGAGCACAGGGAGGGACCTGGGTTCCTGGGGTGCTGCCAGGCCCCCCCGGTACACCAGGGAGCTAGTGGGGCCGAAACACCCCCAAACCTGAGAATGGTAACGGAGACGGAGCAACGTCCAGAGGGGCAGCGATGGAAACCTCCCCGGAGCGGGCAGAGCCGCGGGCAGCAGGAGCCCCACAGCTCAGGGGGCTACAACGGGCAGCACTGGGGGGCCCACCCGCCCCACAGGGCCCTCAGGACGGACCCAGCCCCGCCGCCGGGCGCAGGGACAGGCCAGGGCGGCACCGGTACCCCCCTCGTCCCCCAGGCTCCCGGCTCCCACCTTGACGAGGAAGTTGCCGTCCTTCTCCTGCGTCACCATCACCGCCGAGTCGTGGAGCTTCTCGTCGAAGTGGACGTGGCCATGGGCCCCCTCGGCGGGCTGGCTGGGGGCGAAGCGCACGCCCCCCCCCTTCGCCTTGCTGCCTGCGCGGGGAGGAGAGGACAGAGCCCGGGCGTCACTCCCTGCCCGCCTGGGCAGCACCCGCTCCCTCCCCAGCCCCCTGTCCCCAGCCCTGTGTCCCCAGCCCCATGTCCCCCTGCAGCCCCCGGGGCCAGACCGAGGCCGGAGCATCGTCACACACAGAGGGGTTTCCACAGTTTCCCCTCTTCTCATTTCAGGAAAGCTCCGTGCCACAGGCTGGGGAGGGGGCACATGGACACCGGTGACCAGTGACCACAGCGAGCTCGCCCTCCAAGCGGGGCGAGCACATGGATCTGCCAGCAGCCGATGCCCAGAGGCCGAGGGCCCCGTCCGTCCCCCAGGCTCGGCAGCATTTGCTCGCTCCCCTGATTTTCTCAGGGCAGAGGAGGGGGACGAGGGGAGACATGGGCTGTGCCGGGAAGGGGACACGGGTGGGACAGGGGCAGTGGGGAAGGACAGCTTCCCCGGGGAAGGGCTCCCACACATCCCAGGGTGGCAGGCAGGGCTCTGCGGCGCTGCGGCGCTGGGCAGCATGTTGGGGAGCAAAGCCCGCAGTGCCCCAGGGAAACCCAAAATGCAACGGCCCTGCGAGGACAGGCCTGGGGACACCGAGGTCCCCATGGCCAGCAGGAGCCCGCGCAGAGGCACAAAGGCCGTGGGCCCTTTCCCTTGCACCTTTGCAATAGGGTCTCTGGGAGCTTCCCAGAAAAAGCAGCCTCTCCTCTCCCTCCTCCTCCCGGTGCACCCCGAGAAACCCCCCGGAACGGCCGCCGATCGCATCGCATCCATCTGGCAGCGGCTGGGAGCAGATTGCTGCCTCCTTAAAGAAAAGGCTCTTTGTGCCTCGGCAGGCTGGAAGCGCCGGAGATTTAATAACTCGGCATTGTTCAGCCGGAACAGCTCGGCAGAAATCCCTTCCCCGCACGCAGGGGGAAAACAAGAGACTCAGCTGCTTGCAGAGCGACGCGGCTGCACGTGGCTGCGGCGCGGAAGGGGAGGCAGATGGGACCCTCCCTGCCGAAACGCAGGCAGCTCCCGGCCCCCCGTGCCGGGGCACGGCCACCCTCTGCCCCACAGGGCCTTTGCGGGTGCCATGGGGCAGGACGAGCCCAGGGACCCGCGTGGATCCCGTACACCGGCTGGGAGCTGCGGCAACGGGCAAGGTCCCAGCCCATGGCTGCCACTGGGCATCCCGATGCCAGCACCGGGCTCGGAGCTGAGCCCTGACGCCTGCCAGGAGACCGGCAGGGAAAATCCCAAATATGCGTCTTCGTCCCGCAG